TTGGGAACACCCAGCATTGGTTCATGAAGGGTAGGTCATGTTTAACTAATTTGGTGGAATTCTTTGAGGACATTACTTGCATGGTGGACAATGGGGAGCCTGTGGATGTGGTGTATCTGGATTTCCAGAAGGCATTTGACAAGGTGCCACACCAAAGGCTGCTACGTAAGATAAAATTGCACGGTATTACAGGTAATGTATTGGCATGGATAGAGGATTGGCTGACCAGTAGAAAGCAAAGAGTAGGGGTAAATGGGTGTTTTTCTGGTTGGCGGTCAGTGGCTAGTCGTGTGCCTCAGGGATCAGTGTTGGGACCGCAATTGCTTACAATTTACATAGATGATTTGGAGTTGGGGACTAAGTGTGGTGTGTCAAAATTTGCAGATGACACTAAGGTGAGTGGTACAGCAAAGTGTGCAGAAGACACTGAAAGTCTACAGTGGGATATAGATAGTCTAAGTGAGTGGACAAAGGTCTGGCAGATGGAGTACAATGTTGATAAGTGTGAGGTCATCCATTTTGGTAGAAATAACAGCAAAATGGACTATGTTTTAAATGGTAAAAAATTGCAGCATGCTGCTGTGCAGAGGGACTTGGGTGTCCTTGTGCATGAATCGCTAAAAGTAGGATTGCAGGTGCAGCAGGTAATTAAAAAGGCAAATGGAATTTTGTCTGTCATTGCTAGAGGGATGGAGTTTAAAAACAGGGAGGCTATGCTGCAGCTGTATAGGGTCCTGGTGAGGCCACACCTGGAGTACTGTGTGCAGTTTTGGTCTCCTTACTTGAGAAGAGATATACTAGCACTGGAGGGGGTGCAGAGGAGAGTCACTCGGTTGATTCCAGAGTTGAGAGGGTTGGATTATAAGGAGAGACTGAGTATACTGGGATTATACTCATTGGAATTCAGAAGAATGAGGGGAGAGCTTATAGAAACATATAAGATTATGAAGGGAATAGATAAGGTGGAGGCAGGGAGGTTGTTTCCACTCGCAGGTAAAACTACGGCTAGGGAGCATAGCCTCAAAATAAAGGGAAGCAGATGTAGGACTGAGGTCAGGAGGAAATTCGTCACCCAAAGGGTTGTGAATCTGTGGAATTCCCTGCCCAGTGAAGTGGTTGAAGCTACCTCACTGAATGTTTTTAAGGCAAGGCTAGATAAATTTTTGAACAGTAAAGGAATTAAGGGTTATGATGAGCGGGCGGGTAAGTGAAGCTGAGTCTCAAAAAGATCAGCCACGATCTTATTAAGTGGCGGAGCAGGCTCGAGGGGCCAGATGGCCTACTCCTGCTCCTCGTTCTTATGTTCTAATGACCCCTTTTAGACCTCTTAATTCCTCATTTCAGATTGGTCCTACTTTCCCGATATTCTTCCAAAGCTTCGTCTGTTTTCAATCGTCTAGACCTTATGTATGCTTCCTTTTTCCTCTTTGCTAGTCTCACAATTTCACCTGTCATCCATGGTTCCCTAATCTTGCCCTTTTTATCCCTCATTTTCACAGGTACGTGTCTGTCCTGCACACTAATCAACTTCTCTTTAAAAGCCTCCCACATATCAAATGTGGATTTACCCTCAAACAGCTGCTCCCAATCCACATTCCCCAGCTCCTGCAGAATTTTGCTATAGTTGGCCTTCCCCCAATTCAGCACTCTTCCTTTAGGACCACTCTCGTCTTTGTCCATCAGTATTCTAAAACTTACGGAATTGTGATCACTATTCCCAAAGTAATCCCCTACTGAAACTTCAACCACCTGGCCGGGCTCATTCCCCAAAACCAGGTCCAGTATGGCCCCTTCCCGAGTTGGACTATTTACTTACAGCTCTAGAAAAGCCTCCTGGATGCTCCTTACAAATTCCGCTCTATCTAAATCCCTAACGCTAAGTGAATCCCAGTCAATGTTGGGAAAATTAAAATCTCCCATCACCACCACCCTGTTGCTCCTACATCTTTCCATAATCTGTCTACATATTTGTGCCTCTATCTCACGCTCGCTGTTGGGAGGCCTGTAGTACAGCCCCAACATTGTTACCACACCCTTCCTATTTCTGAGCTCTGCCCATATTGCCTCACTGCTCAAGTCCTCCATAATGCCCTCCTTCAGCACAGCTGTGATATCCTCTTTGATCAGTAATGCAACTCCTCCACCCCTTTTACCTCCCTCTCTATCCCGCCTGAAGCATCTATATCCTAGGATATTTAGTTGCCAATCTTGCCCTTCCCTCAACCAAGTCTCAGTAATAGCAATAACATCATACTCCCAGGTACTAATCCAAGCCACTGCCCAAATATATCAGTTCACTCACGTTCCGAGAGCACAATTCGACCGCTTCCACTCAGCTCCGCTGCCGAAATGAAGAACTTACCTCCCGGCAGCCCCCTGGTCCTTGCTCTCACTGCTCCTGCTGCAAAAAAAAAATGGAGCTAAGAAAATACATTTTCACTCAGTGAGTAGTTTGAGTTGGGCATGCACTTTGCAGACAGCTTCAAGGCATTCAAGAGGGCATTGGATAACTTGCACATTATTTCTATTTAAATTGTTTTGGGGAAAGGGTGGGAGAATAAAAATTAGTCATGATGCTAATTTGGGGAGCTGGTGCAGAAATGAGGGGCTGAATGGCCTCCTTCCACACTGTAACATGCTGTGACTGAATTCTGAGAAAGGTTCAGTGATCTTGTGAAGTACCTGAGTGTTATGAGTAGGCACAGTATGCAATGGTGTCATGAGACATGTGAATGTGTCATCTTATTGTCTATCTTTGTCATTGCCTCCCTAAAAGTTGGAGACTTGAAACATTAAGTGTTTATCTGGCATGCTGCCAATCTTGCTGAGAATTTCTGTCATTTTTGTTTTATATCGCTGCTAAGATCTTGCAATGATGTAAGAGACTGGATATATTGAGGGGAGAATTCGAGGATTTTTTTCATTGGAGGAGCTATGTTGGCTCCAGTGATCTTCCTCACTAGTGTCTAACTTGTGACTTACAGCATTCATTTGAAAACAATAGCTTAAAATCAGATTTACATTAGATTTATTTACCAAATGGACATTTAAAATGCTGCACCCTTGGCAATTTTTTTTTGTGTGCCCAGTTCAAATTGAAAAGCGCTAGCAAACCAGTCTGTGTATGATTATATATGGAGATCTGGCTCGCTGTTGTTTTCCTGGATGGTTTCCTGCCTCAGCTCATTGGCAATGAACCTTTAGCATAGTGGTCTGCTGTCCTGCTTGTCTGTAAGACCATAAAATGTAGAAGCAGAAGTCAGCCATTCAGCCCATCAAGTCTGCTCCAACATTTAATGAGATCATGACCAATCTGATAATCCTTAACTCCACTTTCTCTACCTTTTCCCCATAACCATTAAGAATCTATCTCAGCTTTGAATATACTTAATGATCCAAACCAAAACAGCCCTCTGCAGTAAAGAATTCCACAGATTTACATCGCTCAGAGAATAAATTCCTCCTCATCTCTGTTTAAATGTGATTCTTGACTCTTGATCCCTCATTCTTGAGATTACACTTCTGGTCTGATATTTTTCCTCAAGGGGAAACAATAACTCTGCATCTGTCAAGTCCCCTAAGAGTCTTGTATGTTTCAATAAGGTTCGTTTTTCTATATTCCAATGGGTACAGGCCCAGTTTACTTCACAACTACCCAATCTACTCCCAACTAAATCCTCCACCCTAGCCTTTTTTAGTAATCACTCATGGGATGTGGAATTTGCTGACTGGACCAATATTTATCGGCCATTCCTACTTACCCTTGAGAAGGTGGTGGTGAACTGCCTTCCTGAACCACTGCAAAGTACAAAGATCAGTACAGCACATGAACAGGCCCTTCAGCCCTCCAAGCCTGCACTGACACAGTTAGCCCTTCCATACTAAAACTGTCTTCACTTACAGGATCCATATCCCTCTATTCCCTTCCTATTCGAAAATCCAAGTATTCGTCCTGAATGCTGCTATGGTGTTTGTTTCCACCACCTCCTCTGGCTGCATGTTCCATCACCGCTGCAGTCCATTCGGTGTAGGTAAAGCCACAATGCTGTAGAGGAGTTCCAGGATTTTGACCCAGCGACAGTGAAGGAATGACGATACACTTCCAGGCCAAATTAGTGAGTGGCTTGGAGACGGACCTTGCAGGTAGTGGTGATCCCCTGTTTTTGCTGCCCTCACCCTTTCAGGTAGAAATAGTTGTGGGTATGAAAGGTGTTGTCTAAAGGCTTGGGGGTAAATGTTTGAGTTGGAGTGGTGGGAAACACTTCTGGTGGGAAACTGCTTCTGTGTGCTGAACCTCAATGTGTGTGCTTCTGTGTGCTACTCCCTTAATTGATATAGAGACAAGATTCCTGTCTAATTAATGGAAAAGCCATTCAGTTAGTAACTACAGGGAGAAGTCCACCTTCAGTGTTCAGTCCCACCACCGACGCTCAGTCGCAGCAGTGTGTACTATCTACAAGATGCCCTGCAGAAATTCACGAATGGTCCTCAGACAGCACCTTCCAAACCCCATGACCACTTCTATCTTGAAGGACAAGGGCAGCAGATACACAGGAACACCACCCCTGCACGCTCCTCTCCAAGCCCCTCACCATCCTGACTTGGAAATGTATTGCTATTCTTTAAGTGTTGCTGGAATAAGATCCTGGAATTCCCTCCCTAATAGCATTGTGGAATGTAGCCGGTGGATTGCAGCACTCAGGAAGGCAGCTCATCAGCACCTTCTCAAGGGCAGCTAGCGATGGGCAATAAACGCTGGCCCAGCCAGCAACACCCACCAGGCAATGAAAGAGAAGAAAATCTTATGTGCCTTTGACATGGTTATTGATTGATCTCCTTGACCTGGGATGGATGGTGTTTTTGTTTTTATTTGGGCAAATAGTGCAACCTGTAAGGGGAGGTTTTTTTTTCCCACATTGTAATCAAGTTATTTACAGAATAAAAGCTGCAGAACAACTTCAAAACTTATTAATGGTTCTTCTGTCTGTCCCCGTCTCTAGGGACAACCAAGATGTTTCTGCAGTGTGTGCTTACGACATCACAGACGTGCAGAAAGCTTTCGATGGGCAATATATGGAGTACAAAAGAGAGTCCGACAAATGGGGCATTTACCGTGGTGAAATCCCAGATCCCCGTCCTGGCACAGTAAGTGGGGTATCAATTGTAGCAAGTGATTTCTGCCCATTGCAATGAAAGGATTTACTTTAAAATAAAGAAAACAGCTAGACGCAGTGTCTCAAATGTTAGATCTGAAGTGGGAACTAAAGCACCTGGAATTAAGGGTAGTGTATTGAGATGGATAGAAAACTGTTTGGCAGACAGTAAACAAAGAGTAGGAATAAAGGCAGTGACCAGAGGGGTACCGTAGGGATCTGATCTAGGACCCCAGCTCTTCACAATATATATTATTGGTTTGGATGAGAGAACTAAATGTAATATCTCCAGATTTGCAGATGATGCGAAGCTAGATGGGAGGTGAAGAGGATGCAGAGATACTTCAGTGTGATTTGAACAAACTGAGTGAATGGGTAAATGCATGACAGATGCAGTATGATGTGAATAATTCTGAGGTGATCCACTTCACTGGCATGAACACAAAGGCTGATTTGAATGTCTATAAATTTGAGAGAGGTGATTGTGCAGCGAGACCTGGGTGTCCTCATTTACCTGTCACTGAAGGTGATGCACAGGTGCGGCAGTAAGTGTAGTGAGAGGATTTGAGTACAAGAACTGGGATGTTTTGCTGCAATTATGTAGGTTAGAGGCCAAAAAACTGCAGATGCTGGTATCCAAGCTTGACAAACAGGAGGCTGGAAGAACACAGCAAGCCAGGCAACATCTAGAGGAAAGGAGCAGGAAGGATGTTCCCAATGACCGCGGAGTTTAGAATCAGATGTCACATTATTAATGATACAGGACAGATCTTTTAGGACTGAGATGAGGAGAAATTTCTTCACTTAGAGAGTGGTGAGCCCGTGGATATCTCACCACAGAAAGCAGTCGAGGTGAAAACATTGACCGAAAGAACTGCGGATGCTGTAAATCAAGAACAAAAACAGAAGTTGCAAGAAAAGCTCAACAGGTCTGGCAGCATCTGTGAAGAAAAGTCAGAGTTAATGTTTCAGGTCCAGTGACTGTTCCTCAGACCTGCCAAGCTTTTCCAGCAACTTCTGTTTTTGAGGCTAAAACATTGAATGTTTTCAAGAAGCAGTCAGATGTAGCACTAAAGGGATCAAAGGATATAGGAGAAGTATGGGGGAGTGCTGAAGTGGGGACAGGTTAATAATTTGGGTGTTCAGTGAATGACAGAGCAGGATCATAGGGCTGAATGGCTTACTCCAGCTCCTGTTTTCTGTGTTCCTAAGGCACTCAGGACAGGGATCCAAGGATTGATAATGTGTTATGACTGCTGCTGGAAGGGCAAATGATTGGATCTCCCTCCAAGTTGAATAGCCTGCTGATTCTTGTGTAGAGTCGTGAAGGGTGCAGACTTTCAAAATCCCAAAGAACACACATGGAACTCCATCTCAGCAACAGAAACCTTCAGTACAATAGGACAAACGTCCTTCCTGGGTGTTTGCTAGTACTGTTGGTGGGAGTTTAGACTAATTTTGCAAAGGGACAGAGTGAATAATAGGGAGCCACAAGTCACTCTGGAAGATAGAGCATTATATCATCAAATTTAGGCACGAGGAACTGTGGCAAGGCTGGAAAGGATTCATCTTAATGCCTTGCAAGTAAAGCAGATGAGTCGAGGGTGCTGATTAATACAATGGGGTGTGAGATCATTGCTATCGTGGAGACTTAGTTGAGGGAGGGGCAAGACTGACAGCTCAATATTCCAGGATATAGAATCTTCAGGTGAGATAGGAAGACTGTATATTAGGAGGTGATGTTGTAATATTGATCAAAGAGTGCTAACTGAAATAAGGAGGGTTGACAGTTTAGAAAGTACTGAAATAAGGAGAGATGATATCTTAGAAGGTTCCCAGTTAAGGCCATAAGACCTTGAAGCAAAAGCAGATGATTTGGCACATCAAGTCTATTCTACCATTCAGTGTAATCATGGTTGATTTGATAATTCTCAATTTAACTTTCCTTGCTTATCCCCATAACTCATGATTCCCTTACTAATTATAAATTTGTCTGTCTCAGTCTTGAATACATGTAATGACACACTGGCCGAATGGCATTGTTTTGTATTGTATCATTCTATGATTCCAATTCCAGAAATTCAGTATCTTCTGAAAGTAGAAATTGGTCATAAATGGGAAACCCCTTATTTTACCCTCTGGTTCTAGACTCTCCTACAAGGGGAAACAATCTCCCCTCAATTACCTTGTTAAACCCCCCAAGAATCTGACATGTTTCAGTAAGGTCTCCTGTCATTCTTTAAAACTCCAATGAGTGCAAACACAATCTACTCAACCTAACTGCATAAGAAAATCCCTCCATGCTCAAAATCAGTACGGTGAACCTTCTTTGGAATGCTTCCAGTGCCAGTATAGCTCTCCTTAAATAAGGCGACCAAAACAATATTTTGGGTGTGGTCTGACATAGTACCTTGTATGATTATGGCAAGTCCTCCCTATTTTTATACACCATTTTCTTTGAAATAAAAGCTAACAGTCCATCTACCGTCTCTATTACCTGTTGAAAATGGATGCTAGCGTTTTGTAATTCATGCACAAGACTTCCAAATCCCTCTGTTGTGCAGCATTCTGCACTCTCTTCCCATTTATATGCTATCTACCAAGGCTTTTGTCACTCACTCAACTTGTATTCCTTTTCAGACCCTTTGAGTCATCCTCACTACTTGCCTTTTCACCTGTTTCTGTGTCATCCACAAACTTGGAAGTGGTGCATTACTTTGTTTGTCCAAGTCATTAGTATATATTGCGAATAATTGTGGCCTCTGCACTAATTCCTGTGACATTCCACTAGTTATAGATTTGAAATAGAGAAACGGGAAGCCGTAGACTACAGGATGGTCAGATGGGCAGAACAGTAGCAAATGATATTAAACTCTGAGAAGTGTGAGGTGATGCATTTTTGGGAAGACTAACAAGTCAACAGGCTATACACCTTTGTGTACAATACAGAGGATCAAAGGGAATTTGGTGTGCATGTCCATACACCCTGAAAGCAAGAACGCTGTGGGAAGTAAGGGAGGAAATTGCAAGGTCCCTTGCAGAAATAGTTGGATCATCGATAACAATGGGTAAGGGGTGATGACTGGATGGTAGCTAATACAAAGAATGATATGTCTCAGGAACAGGCCCTTCGGCCCTCCAAGCCTGTGCCGACATGTTTTGCCCTTCTATTACCAAAACTGACTTCAATTACAGGATCCATATCCCTCTATCCCCTTCCTATTCATTTATTTGTCCAGGTGCTTCCTGAATGCAGCTATTGTGTCTGTTTCCACCACCTCCTCTGGAAACGTGTTGCAGGCACTCACCATCTTTTGTGTGAAAAATTTGCCTCGACATCTCCCTTAAACTCACCCCTCACCACCTCCCACACCTTGAACCTGTTCTCCCTAGTAATTGACCTCTTCACCCTGGGAAAAAAAGCCTCATACTTTCCACTCTATCCAAGCAATTCGCAATCTTATAAACTTCGCTCAGGTCACCCGACAACAATGAGACAACATTGGCTATTCTCCAGACCCTCTGGGACCTCACCTGTGGCCAGTGAGGATACAAAGATGTCTGTTAATGCTCCAGCAATTTATTCTTTTGCCTCCCTCAATATTTGGGATAGATCCCATCAGGACCCAAGGACTTATCACCTTAATACTTCTTAAAATGCACAACACCGCTTCCTTTTTAATAGCAACTTGGCTTAGAAACTTGACATTCCCTTCCCTGAGATCATCCTCCACTAATTCCTTCTCTTTGGTGAATACCAACAGAAGGTATTCATTTAGGACCTCACCTACCTCTTCTGGCTTCACACATAGATTCCCCCCTTTGTCCTTGAGTGGGCCAACCCTTTCCCTGGCTACCCTCTTGCTTTTTATATATGTATAAAAAGCCTTGGGATTCTCCCTAATCCTGTTTGCTAACAATTTTTCATGACCCCTTTTAGCCCTTCTAATTCCTTGTTTAAGTTCTTTCCTACTTTCCTTATATACTTCAAGGGCTTCATCAGTTCCCACCGTCCTAGACCCTACATATGCTTCCTTTCTCTTTCTGACCAAGGTCATAACATCCCTGGTCACCCAAGCTTCACATTACTTGCCATACTCATCCTCCATTCCTGCAGGAATGTGCCGCTCCTGAGTTTTTATCAGCTGTCATTTGAAATACTCCCACATGTCCAATGTAGATTTACCCTCAAACAACCGCCTCCAAACAAAATTCTCCAGTTCCTGCCTAATGTTGTTGTGGTTCGCCTTCCCCCAGTTTAACACCTTCACCTGAGGAATGATGTTATCCCTATGAGTATCTTAAAACTTGTGGTATTATGGTCGCTACTCCCGAAATGCTCCCCCGTTGAAACTTTACTCACCTGGCCGGGCTAATTTCCCAAAACCAGATCCCTGGTTGGACTGTTCGCATACTGTGTCAAGAAACCCTCCTGAATGGTCCTTACAAATTTTGCCCTATCCAAGCCCCTCGCACGTAGTGAGTCTCGGTCAATACAGGGGAAGTTAAAATCACCCACGACAACAACCCTGCTGGTTTTACATTTTTCCAAAATTTGTCTACATATTCTCTCCTCTATCTCCTGCTGGCTGTTGAGAGGCCTGTAGTATACATCCAGCGTTGTACTCATACTGCCTTGCTACAAGAGTCCTCTGATGTATCCTCCCTCAGTACAGGTATAACATACTCCTTTACCAGTAACGCAATTCCTGCACCCCTTTTACGTCCCCTCCTATTACACCTGAAACATTTAAATCCTAGGACATTCAGCTGCCAGTCCTTGTTGTGCCTTTGTTTAAGAAGGGCTATAAGGAGAAACTGAGGAACTATAGACTGTGAATGTGACTTTGGTTGTGGGTAAATTGTTGGAGATGATTCAGAAAGATAGGATTTATGGACATTTAGAGAGGCAAAAATTGATTAGGGATAGACAGCATGGTTTTGTGCGAGGAAAATTGTGTCTCACAAACTGGATTGAATTTTTTGAGGAAG